GGAACCTTCCCCACCAATCCCTGCTCTGTGTTCCCCCAGGATGTTCCTGCTGGGCCTGCAGGAGGAGCAGAGGATGGATTCTTTGTGCCTCCCACCAAGGGCACCAGCCCAGCCCAGGTAACAGCCACGTCAGCTCTGGGATTGTCCTTCCCAGGAACTTCCTGCTCTGGTGCTTCTTGTTTTGGTTTCACTCCTTGGGAGCACAACTTGGGCAGTTGGTGATGGGAACATTAGGGGTGGTGAGGGCAGGTAGGAGATGTGAACATGACAGTTCCTCCTGTGTGTTCCCCTTCTCCTAGGTGTGGTGTAACAATTCCCAGCTGCCTGTTGACCACATCCTGGCAGGTTCCTTTGAGACAGCAATGAGGGTAAGTTTCCCATGGACTTTCCAAGGACAAACTGTGCCTTGTCCCATGAATTTTGGCCTCTGATCCACTCGGAAGCTTTTGTGGCCTGTGAATCCCTTTGTGCCCTGTTCTCCCTGGGTGAGGAGCAAGGAGAAGCCTCAGTGCTGCTTGTGCCAGTGTAACTCAGCACAGACAAGTGTCTCTCTCCACATGTCTCTCCAGCTCCTCCACGACCAGGTGGGAGTGACAAACTTTGGGCCCTACAAGCAGCTGTTCCTGCAAACCTTTGCCCGTGGCCGCACGACCTACCAGGCCCTGCCGTGTCTGCCTGCCATGTATAGCTACCCACACCGCAACTGGTGAGCCCTGCCCTGCCCCTTCCCCTGCCATGGCCCTCCTGCAGCCTCTGCTCTGCGTCTCCTGGAAGCCACTGGAGAAACATCCCAGAATCACTGAGGTTGGAAAACACCTCCAAGGTCACCAGGTCCAACCTGTGACCCATCGCCACCTCGTCAGCTAGAGCAGAGCACTAAATGCCATGTCCAGATAATCCTTTAGGACCTCCAGGGATGCTGAGCTAGACTTCCCAGCCTGTGGAGGATAGAGAGAGCTGGGAATTGTAGGTGGGAGAGTAAGGGAAGCAAAGGTGCCTTTTGTGTTGAGCTGATGAGAAACAGGTCAAAGCCAGGTCACCAGTTTGCACTGGGGAGGCACCTCCAGGGCTGTGTCCAGGGCTGGGACATCACTGGGGGAGACACTGAGGGGCTGGAGGTGTCCAGGGATGGGAATGGAGCTGGAGGACAAGGAGAAGGGTCTGGAGAACTCCTGAGGGAGCTCAGGCTGGAGAAAAGGAGGCTCAGGGGCAACTTCTGGCTCTCTCCAACTCCCTGGCAGGAGGTGCAGCCAGGTGATGTCAAGGGATGGGACAAGAGGAAACAGCCTCAGGCTGTGCCAGGGGAGGTTCAGGTTGGACATCAGGAGGAATTTCCCCATGGAAAGGGCTGTCAGGCATTGGAATGGGCTGCCCAGGGAGGTGGTGGAGTCACCATCTCTGTAGGTGTTCAGGGAGTGGCTGGACCTGCTCTAGTTGCCAAGGTAGACATTGGTCACAGGGTGGACTTGATGACCTTGGAGGTCCTTTCCATCCTCAGTGATCCTGTGAGAACACTCCCTTGGTTGAGCTGATGGTGTGTGGGTGTCCCTGGTGTGATCCCTGTGTCCCCCTAACCCCCCCAGGAAGGAAGCTGGCCTGAAGAATGCCCTCCCAGCTGTGGGCCTGAAGCTCAACGACCTGATCCAGCGCCTGCAGCTCTGCTACCAACTCACCACTGCCGGCAAGTTCGAGGAGGCCGTGGAGAAGTTCCGCTCCATCCTGCTCAGCGTTCCCTTGCTGGTGGTGGACAACAAGCAGGAGATTGCTGAGGTGAGGGACATCCTCCTGCTTGTGGGCTGTGTCCCCCTGGGGCAGGAGGCCCTGCCTGACCTGCCCCTGTCCCTCAGGCCCAGCAGCTCATTGCCATCTGCCGTGAGTACATCGTGGGGCTCTCCATGGAGATCGAGCGCAAGAAGCTGCCCAAGGACACTCTGGAGCAGCAGAAGAGAATCTGTGAGGTACAGGACTCCTTCCCTGGGAGACTGTGGCCTCACGGTGGCTTTAGAACAGGATCAGGAATGTGGAATTCTGATCTTCCCACCCCTGAAGCAGATGTGGCACTGGGAGGGAGGTATCCCCTGCAGCATTCCCAGTCACTCCCATGCCTGGCAGTGATGGGATCTCTACTCTCCTCCTCCCCCTGCAGATGGCTGCCTACTTCACCCACTCCAACCTGCAGCCTGTGCACATGATCCTGGTGCTGAGAACTGCTCTCAACCTCTTCTTCAAGCTCAAGAACTTCAAGACAGCAGCGACGTTCGCCCGGAGGCTGCTGGAGCTCGGCCCCAAGCCTGAGGTGGCCCAGCAGGTACTTCTACGAGGGGTCAGGTGGAAGTTGGTACTTTCTGGGAGGTGACAGGTGGAAGTAGGTGAGGTAGAAGAGCCTCTTTGGAGTCTCCCTGTGCCTCTTGGCCCACACAGTTGCTTCTTGCAGACGCGCAAGATCCTGTCGGCGTGTGAGAAGAATCCCACAGACACCTACCAGCTCAACTACGACATGCACAACCCCTTTGACATCTGTGCTGCCTCCTACAGACCCATCTACCGTGGCAAACCCGTGGAGAAGTGTCCCCTCAGCGGGGCCTGCTACTGCCCAGAGTTCCATGGGCAGATCTGCCGCGTCACTACGGTAAGGGCAACTCACCCACTCCCAGCCCCTGGGGCTTCCCTTGTGAATTCCTTCCACAGCTCACACCACGTCCTCCTCAACCCACTTGGTGCTGTTGTGCTGTGTTGTGTTGTGTTGGAGGACTTGGCATGTTTGGGAATTGGGAGGTGCCATGAGTGTCGGTGTTGCCTTCAGGGGTGACACAGTGGTCACGGCCCCACGCCAAGGAGAGTTTGGACAAAGCTCTCAGGCACATGTTGGGATTTTTGGGCTGTGCAGGGCCAAGAGTTGGACTTGATGATACCTTTGGAGTCCAGTCCAGCTCAGGGAGAGTCCATGATGCTGTGATATAATGGTTGTCATCCATGTGTGTTTGGGGTGATGAAGGGTCTGGAGCATCTCTCTGATGAGGAGAGGTGCAGGGCTGGGCCTGGTTAGTCTAGAGAAGAGAAGGCTGAGGGGGATCTCATCAATCCATGCCAATCTCTCACCCAAGATCCCCTCAATCCCCACAAACCTCTCCAAGGGGTGTTAGGATGGTGCCAGACTCTTCCCAGTGCTGCCCAGTGACAGCACAAGGAGTCATAGCCAAAAACTAAACCACAACAAGTTCCACCTCAACCTGAGGAAGGACTCGTGTCCATGGAGGTGGCAGAGCCCTGGGACAGGAGCCCAGGGAGAGTGTGGAGTCTCTCTCTGGAGACATCCCAAACCCACCTGGACATGTCCCTGTGTCACCTGCTCCAGGTGGGGTTGGGCTGAGTGGTCTCCAGAGGTGCCTTCTCCCTCCAGCTGCTCTGGGACTCTGTCCTGTGGAGCAGCCAGGGCTCTGAATGCTGCTCCTGGGCTTGTGGTTGTGCTCCTGAGTTGCCTTTGACCAGGAATCCTCTCTCTCTTGCTCCTCAGGTGACCGAGATCGGCAAAGACGTCCTGGGGCTGCGCATCAGCCCCCTCCAGTTCCGCTAGTGCCCACGGGCACCTTCCCCTGCCCCATCCCAGCTCCTAGCCCAGGCTCTCCCCCAGCCACCCCCGTGCTGTCCTGCCTGCTCTTCCCCAGTGAGATGTAACCACCTCCCAGGAGTAGCAGCTTTTCCTTCTGGTTCTAGACCAGCTGATATGAAGGTTTCATGTCCTGTTGTCCTAAGGTAAATCTTTCCCAGAGGATGCAGTGCCCACTCCTGCTTGCCACACAGTGCTCTAGGACCTGCTCCAGAGGCAGCAGCTGCGCGTCTGCCACCCTCGAGCTCCGGGGAAGAGAGCCAGGCCTGGCTCCAGGCACGGGGTGTGGGTGGGAGCAGGAGCCCTGCCGAGCCCTGGGGCAGTTCTGCTCCCCTGGGCCTTGGCAGTGCCTCAATAGTTGTGTTAGTGTTGACTCTTTGTGGTGTTGTCATAACAACGTTGCTCAAACTAATCAGCTCCTGCATAATAAAGTGCATTAACCACCTCCATCTTCCTGCTTCATGCCTCAGTTGGTTCCGCCAAGACACGAGAGGTGATGTTTCCTTTCCTCCTGCCACTCTCCTCCTCTCCCTCTCTGCACCAGCAGCACCTCGGAGGGCTGAAGCTTCCAGAAGGTGGAGGCTGCACACTGAAATGGTTTCTTTGGGGCTGCTAATTACTGCTGTGTAATTGCTGCTGCCAGAACTCTAATTAACCCTGAGTGCTCATGTGATACTGCTGCTCTTAGCTGGTGCAGTTGGACCCTGAAGTTAGTGTTCCTGAGCCTGGCTCCAGGGTATGTCACAGGCTCCAGGAGCCCCAGAGCCTGTGCTTCCTGGTGAGGACAAGGCTGAGAACACACATGTTCTCCCAGCAGGGGTGAAGCTGAGGGTGGGACACAGTGATCCAACCCTTTGGCCAGGGATCCTTCCCTGTTTGACCAGGGCAGGGATTTTCCTCTCTGCTGGCACTGGGGAGGCACCTCCAGGGCTGGGACGTCTCTGGGAGAGACTTGGAAGGGCTGGAGGTGTCCAGAGATGGGAATGGAGCTGGGGAAGGGCTGGAGGACAAGGAGAAGGGTCTGGAGAACTCCTGAGGGAGCTGTGGGGGGGGCTCAGCCTAGAGAAAAGGAGGCTCAAGGGGAACTTCTGCTCCCTCCAATTCCCTGCCAGGAGGTGCAGCCAGGTGGGATTGGGCTCTGATCCCAGTGAAGGGACAAGACAGGAGGTCCTAGGTTGGACTTAAGGGTCTTAGAGACCATTTCCAACTCAATGATTCCACGATCCTGTTCCCTCTGGATCTGTGCTGCATTCCTGGTGCTGAAACCAAACCTTTCACGAGGGTTTGAAACCTTTTATTTTTTACCTAAAAAGGGGGAAAGGGAATGTTGCCATCCTGATGCTTCCAGTGTTGCATGGGAATGTTCACAGTGGGGGGGATACTGCAGCTGGGCCTAGGGCCCAGGGGCCTTCAGCACTAGGCTGTTGTGACAGGCCACAGCGATGCCCCCGATGAGGTTCAGGAACTCCTGGAAGTCCAGTTGCCCATCACTGTTCAGGTCCAGTTTCTTCATCATCCTGTCCACCACACCTGGGTCCTTCTGGTTCTGCAGGAGAGCTGAGAATCACTGCCAGCCCCCGAGGGTGGAACTGCTGCCGAGCCCATGGAGTCAAGGGTTGGATTGGAAAGGACCTTAAAGCTCATCCAGTCACCCTTGCCGTGGCAGTGACACCTCCCACCAGCCCAGGGTGCTCCAACCCCATCCAACCTGGCCTGGAACACTCCCAGGAATGGAGCAGCCAAAGTGCCTCAATACAATCCAGTGATGATATGAAACATCACACAGATAAACACTAATTATGTTTATATTGGACTTTAAGAACAATCATTGCATTGCCACAGATTAAAACTTGTTTCTCTTCATCAACCAATTCTACTACTTCCAAGGTGACCTTTCTGGAGAACACTTTAGTTTTAATTTGTTATTAATTGCAGCCTGAATAGCCTGTTTAGAACGTAACAGCCAAACAACTCTTCCCTCTCCCTGTAACAATTAGCAGCGATGATAAAGCTTAAGTTTCTAACTTAGTTAATCAGTTCCTCAGCATCCTCACAGGGAAGGATTTATGCCTAACACCTAACCTGAACCAGCACGTGGAATGGTTTGGGTTGGAAAGGAGGTTAAAGGGATGTCCAAGTCCCACCCCCAGGGACACCTCCCACCAGCCCAGGTCGTTCTTATCCCCAACCCACTAGGGATGGAGCAGCCACAGCTGCTCTGGCTAAGCCTCCTCTGGCCCTGGCTGCGGCTCACCTTGGTGAAGGCAGCCAGCTCGGTGTTCATGAAGGCCAGGAACTCCTTCTTGGAGAGGGTGGTGGTGTCGCCCTCCTTGCCCGCGTAGCGCTGGAACACTGCCAGCAGCGACTCGATGCAGCGCTCGGTCTCCGTGGGCTGCGGGGAGAGCACAGTCCGTGCCAGGAGTTCTCCCACCCCATCCCCATCCTCATCTGCATCCCCATCCTCATCCCCATCGCCCCCGCGACGGACGGACCCGTGGGAAATGCCCTGCGGGTGTTAGCTCCAGTGGAAGGAATGTCCTGGGACTTTGTGCTGCAACCAGGGCTTGGCTCGGGTTGCTAATCTGGAGAGATAAACTTCTTCCCTCCCCTTTTCCCTCCCCCTGCCCTGCCCAGGCTCAGCGGGGACTGAGTCAGGAGAGAAAAATGCAAACGGCGTTGCCATCCCAACCTCCTGCCCCGGGGCAGGGAGGGATGGGTGGCCTGGGGCTTCTCCCGTAGGCATAGACAGGGAAAGTTGAGAGGGACGTGGGGTGGGGAATGTGGGGCTCTTCCCCCTTCCCATGGCTCCAGGGGGATGTAAAGCTCTTCTCCTCCCCATAGTTCCAGGGGAAAGTGAAGCTCTTCCCCCTCCCTCCGACTCCAGGGGGATATGAAGCTCTTCCCCCTCCCTTCAACTCCAAGGGGATGTGAAGCTCTTCCCCCTCCCCATAGTTCCAGGGGAGAGTGAAGCTCTTCCCCCTCCCTACGACTCCAGGGGGATGTGAAGCTCTTCCCCCTCCCC